AATGCTCTTCTCTTTCTCCTTATTAAAGGAGGAGGCATCGCTGCCATCTTTAGCCCCATCCTCTTCCTCTTTGGGGCTTTCTTCATCCTCTAGAAAGCTGTCGCTCTCAGCAGCAGAGGAAGTTGATTGTGGTGATACATTTTTCTCTCTCTGTGGGCCCATTTGATTACCCTGGTTGTTGGTATGGTTATCGCTGTCACTGCCTGAGTTCTTGACATTGCTACCCTGGTTCTCGATGTTGCTGTCCCGGTTCTCAGTGTTGCTACCCTGGTTCTTGACATTGCTGTCCCGGTTCTTGCCCTGGTTCACGACATTGCTGCCCTGGTTCATGACGTTGCTGTCCTGGTTCTCAGTGCCGCTGTCCTGGTCGTGGCCCAGGTCCTTGTTGCCGCCGTCCTGGTCGTGGCCCAGGTCCTTGTTGCCGCCGTCCTGGTTGTTGCCGCTGTCCTTGTTGCCGCCATCCTGGTTGTTGCCCTGGTCCTTGTTGCCGCTGTCCTGGTTGTTGCCGTCCTGGTTGTTGCCCTGGTCCTTGTTGCTGCTGTCCTGGTTGTTGCCCTGGTCCTTGTTGCCACTGCTGGGGTTGCTGTCCTGGTTGTTGCCCTGGCTCTGGTTGCCACTGCTGGGGTTGCTGTCCTGGTTGTTGCCCTGGCTCTGGTTGCCACTGCTGGGGTTGCTGTCCTGGTTGTTGCCCTGGCTCTGGTTGCCACTGCTGGGGTTGCTGTCCTGGTTGTTGCCCTGGCTCTGGTTGCCACTGCTGGGGTTGCTGTCCTGGTTGTTGCCCTGGCTCTGGTTGCCACTGCTGGGGTTGCTGTCCTGGTTGTTGCCCTGGCTCTGGTTGCCACTGCTGGGGTTGCTGTCCTGGTTGTTGCCCTGGCTCTGGTTGCCACTGCTGGGGTTGCTGTCCTGGTTGTTGCCCTGGCTCTGGTTGCCACTGCTGGGGTTGCTGTCCTGGTTGTTGCCCTGGCTCTGGTTGCCACTGCTGGGGTTGCTGTCCTGGTTGTTGCCCTGGCTCTGGTTGCCACTGCTGGGGTTGCTGTCCTGGTTGTTGCCCTGGCTCTGGTTGCCACTGCTGGGGTTGCTGTCCTGGTTGTTGCCCTGGCTCTGGTTGCCACTGCTGGGGTTGCTGTCCTGGTTGTTGCCCTGGCTCTGGTTGCCACTGCTGGGGTTGCTGTCCTGGTTGTTGCCCTGGCTCTGGTTGCCACTGCTGGGGTTGCTGTCCTGGTTGTTGCCCTGGCTCTGGTTGCCACTGCTGGGGTTGCTGTCCTGGTTGTTGCCCTGGCTCTGGTTGCCACGGCCGGGGTTGCTCTCCTGGTTATCAGGGCTACTGCTCTGGCTCTCGGTCTGGTTACCAGTGCGGCCATTTTCTTTGTTGGTTTGGTAACTTGTGTTGCTGCCTTGGCCATCAACACCCTGGCCATCTGTCTGCTTCTCCATGCTGCTACTGGCGACAGACACATTTGTGTCCCTCTGGTCCTTAATCATCGTCATTTCATTATTCGTGTCCAATTTGGAGGTGTCTTTGTCGTTGGGTGGATCTGATTCAGAGCGCTGCTTTTCATTCCTTTTGGACGTATCCACGTGCTCATCCCCTCGGTTCTCCTGGCTGTTATGTGCTACCAGCTGGAGGGACCCCCCAGCACCTGATGAAGTTTTGCCGGCCTCTGTTTCCTCTGGCTTCTGCCCCGCAGCTGTCAGCAAACACACAGAGGTAAGAGTCACTGCCTGGCCCCGCCGTCGGTGTAAGCAGCGTGCCTGGCTGTCCGAGACAGCTTCTTGGCCAACGCAGCCCCACTGCCGACAAGCGCGAAAGAAAAATCTCCTGCAAGGGCAATGGGAGCGGGGAACCAAAGGGGCGACAAAGCCGGCGGCAGGCTGCCCCCGAGGGAGCCC